GTTACTTACATTACAATTTACATCCACCTGAGAGCTTTGCATTTGATTATGATAAACACTCTGATATCCCAGGAACCACCTTCTTACTGAAGGCAATAAGTTAATAGATACGGATTAAACACACATCCCGCGTCACGCACACATTCTTGCAAAGCACGCACTCAGTGCATGTGTTTTAACCATGCATGCATTACGTATCCGTCCTTGGCACTGAAAGACGGGCGTAAGGGCGAATCCGGTCGCCCACCGGTCCAGCCCCGTGGGCGATGACTGTTCACTCTGGGTTCTTTATCGGCGCATATACCACTGCACGACCACAATGGGCGGACGGCAGGGGGCGGAGCGGGAGGGAAGCTCTGCATCACCGTGGAAACACGCGATCTCCCCACTAACTGGGCGGTGTTACATCCGTGACCAGCCACCCCAGTGCGTGTCAGACAGCACGAGAGGGCCGACACAGCATCCGCAAACCATTCGCAGCCAATTACGGACGTTTGCAGACCGGCCATGGTTTAGCCAATGTTCGCGGCAACGCTTATGCCTTCAGCACATCAGTCCATCATGTTCGAGGTTAACTCATCTTGCGCCGCCCACTGCTAGCAGAGCCTGGTCTGACGCCTGGGGCGGCGCCCGGAGGCCGAAAACTGCTCACACACGCTCAACACATCGGGTCAAACGTCCGAGAGGCACGACAAAAAGGCATTAACACAGCTGTGGGCGCCGGTCGGTCAGCACGCAGCCGGTCGCCGCAGACTGTTCCCGGACCCATGAGCGCCCGGAGCCGTCCCCGCCCGGAGTCCGGGCCGGTCCGGGCCGTTCCCGGAAGTGGGGGAGCCCGGAGGCTGCAACCCGGACCGCCGCGCCGACGCAGACTGACAACTCTCGGCGCTGCGAGCGGCGCCCGGCTGCAAATGCGATTCCGTCCGTCCAGAATGAAATGCGAGAACCGGGCGGAGGTGGGAGAGCTGCTCTTCAGCATGCGCGTGCCAGGAGAGGGGGTGCAGAGATCAGACGAGGAAAGTAATGGTACAGGCTATCAAGGTGCAGTAAAGCATCCAGCACGTCGGTTAATATTAGTCTGCGACTCACGACAAAAAAAAAACTAATGTGTTATTGGAGTTTAGAGGGATCTTGGTCGTTAGAGTGCTATTGGGATCAATAAATCACTCAGCTGGCATCAAAATCAAATCATGCTCCATTTGCCGTGTTTGTTATCGTTCCACTTCCGATAGCATTGACAGGCCGTCGAGGCAGCGCAAACAAACGATCACCGGCTGTCAGGGCGCACGCACACGCAGCCACAGACTCGGTTTTGTAATGGCATGGCATCATGGCATGGCATGGCAATACATATGTGAAATGGAATGACATGATTGAAAAACAAACTCGTAGAGTAGCCTAAATGATCTTAATGAGCCATATCCTATATGCGTCGTATATCCGGTGCATACAATTGTGCTGACCAACACACCGAGGATTTAGCTCGTATACCCATCCGCTGAGTGGGTAATGGGTATCCAGGACCGCAGCCACCAGGTCATCTTGCTATTCAGACAAAGTTTCTTTAAAAAAATTAACAGGGTGTGTTTTAAGTTAATAATCATATTTGTGATTCATCATAACATCTGGCAAAAAAACGAGTTGTCACCTGAATGGCCATACCGAGTGCAGGGGCGAGTGCAGGTGCGGGGACCAGTGCAGCGACGCCGCCAGGTAGCCCTCCCTACTAATCCCTCGCCCGTGTCTCCGTGTGGGCAGCCAGCGGTAAACACCGACATCACAATGTTACCCGGTGTGTTCAGAGGTTATGATTTGTAGGCGTCCCTTATCTCCGAGTAGGCGGACAGAGGTAAACAGTCACAACACGGGGTCATCAATGTAACCCCAGCTTGTAACAGGTAGCCAGCCTTGCAATACAGAGGATAGAGAAAAGGAGCTGGGAAGGAATGGAAACCGCTGTTGGCAGTTGACAGTGCAGACGAGATCTAGGGCAGGTGGTAGCTGTCCAGAAAAGGAGAGACACTACCCAGCGCGAACTGGTACACTCGGGGGCAGATTGATGTTCCACAACTCTTTATCCACCGGGTTCCTATGGCTCAGCATTGGCAGCAGCCGCCTGGTACCGGTAGACTGTGCCGCTTCACTTACTTGTCAAGCGGCACAGCCTACCAACACCGTATGCCACCGGTCTGGGTCGGTGGCTGGAAGGCGATGTGGGCCGCCTGTGACGTCAGCGCAGCGGTGAGGGCCGAGCCCGGAGGCATGGCTCGGGTCGGCGCGGCGCGGCGGCTGGCGAGGGCTGGGGAGTGAGGTGGGGTGGGAGCACGGACCATCGCGCGGCTGAGCGAGTGTAGTTAACTTTCGCGTCTCAAGGCGTCAATTATTCTACCTAACAATTGTGCTAAAGCAGTTGTTAAAATGTCCTATCCCCAAGACAGCGCCTATCATCATACTTGCCATGCACATTACGACACACTTAAACATGGCATTGGGACAGCCGATAGAATTTATATCACACGTGCATCGAGTTGCGGAGCTACATTGTTTTTAACAGATAAGTATTAAGGTCTTGATTGAGCTCATTGGTGTCTATTATTTCGCACAGCAATCGTCCAGAGACGTGGGAACTGGGGTTTTGGATAGCGCGGCGTCGCAACTTTAAGCAACTCTTACTGTTCCTCTAATGTGTGGTCGCAGCCACCAATAGCAAACTGTTCCATAGGAACAAATAAGTCGCGCACCTGGGACGGTTCGAACCGGGTTTCTCCAACCGGTCACCCCACGAAGCTAGCGTGTATCCACTGATCTGCCGAAACCAGCGACCACCCGCCGCGGTCAAACGCGATCAAATGTCACAATACTTTCATTGGCGGTCAGCGGGTGAATGTCATTTTGTTTTGTGCGGACGAGGACCATTCTCGGTAGCTCAGTGGATGAACGCTCGTGTCGTGAATTGGCCGGTGGGAGAAGCCCGGTTCGAGCCCCCCTGTGTGGCCGACTTTTTGGCTCCTAGTTGGAACGGTTTGCTATTGGAGGCTGCGACCACATATTAGAGCAACAGTAATAATCGCTTCAAATTGGAGCGTTGGCTGCGGCACTACTCATAACCCCCAGTTCCCACGGCTCTGGACGATTGCCGTGCGAAACAATAGACACCAATCTGCTCAATCAAAACCTTAATACTAATATGTTATACAAAATATAGCTCCGCACCTCGATGCACGAGTGACATAAGTTCTATCGGCTGTCCCATTGCCACGCTTAAGTGTGTCATAATGTGCATTGCAATTATGATGATAGGCGCTGTCTTGGGGATAGGACATTTTAACAACTGCTTTAGCACAATTGTTAGGTAGAATAATTGACGCCTTGAGACGCGAAAGTTAACTACACTCGCTCAGCCGCGCGATGTCCGTGCTCCCACCCCACCTCACTCCCCAGCCCTCGCCAGCCGCCGCGCCGCGCCGACCCGAGCCATGCCTCCGGGCTCGGCCCTCACCGCTGCGCTGACGTCACAGGCGGCCCACATCGCCTTCCAGCCACCGACCCAGACCGGTGGCATACGGTGTTGGTAGGCTGTGCCGCTTGACAAGTAAGTGAAGCGGCACAGTCTACCGGTACCAGGCGGCTGCTGCCAATGCTGAGCCATAGGAACCCGGTGGATAAAGAGTTGTGGAACATCAATCTGCCCCCGAGTGTACTAATGCAGTTCCAAACAGCTCACGGGACTTGATGTGCCGGTGACGAATGTCCCAGCAGGTCACCTCGAGTTAGTCATGGCTGGCTGCAGACGTGTTATTGTAGCGATGCAAGCCAGAGGTGACACATAGAAGTGCTGTCCGCTGTCACCCTGCAGCTGTCTGCAGGGCAACAAAGAATAAGCATAGGTGCTGTGCAATGTGCATTGCTAGCGCTATGCAATAAAATTCGCCACTAAAGAATAATGGATTCCTCAAGTCCTCATACCATCCGGAGCCCTCCTCTCTGTGCTTCAGTCTCATTCTGACCAACAAAGAATTTATATGATTGATATCAAATGCCAATCAAGAGTCACATGACAACGAAGCGCAACTCTTGGATGACCGTAACAGGCGACTAGTAACCAGTGCTCGTTAATCAGTACCAGGTGACCGCTGGCCAGAACAGGTGACCAATGGGCGGTAACCGATCGACGACCAGGCAGTGACCGGGCCATTTTTCACCCTTCTCGCGGGTGCGGCTCTGGACAGAGGCACCCCTCATGGAGTCGCCCGGCCGCTCCCCCCCCCCCCCCCCGCCCAGCCCCGTCGAGGGTCGCCCACGCACAGACCCAGAAAGGAGAGACGAGCCACTCCCGCCGGCACTAGCCAAGGACAAGCGGAGACCGAGTGGCGTGCTTCAGCTGTCGATACAAGCCGACTGAGACCTGGGAGGCATACATGAGCTTCAGACCGGCCCAATGTCTGTCCCAATGAGCGTTGAAGCCCGAGAGGCAAAGCCGGCGGCAGTTGTTACCTCCCCCCGCCCCCCGGCTTGGTCATCTTCAGTGTGAAACTTACGCAGATTTTTATTTCAGCCCTATTTGATGGCAGTGGGTAGGCACTGACTAGGTACGGAAATAAATGAAACAGATTACAGAATGTTTGACAAACTTAAATGTTTGAAGGACAAACGTCAGTGGCTATGGATTGACTTGCTATGGATTGTCTCGTGAGACGTGAGCCATTGTATATTTTTTGTTTCAGAAGTTATTTAGACAATTCGATTCATATCAACATCAGGCTTTAGACATTCCTACATATTTCGGAGTCCTCGGACTTCGGTTACAACTTACAAGTCAAAATGTCTCCAAAAGCACCGAGATTGCATCGAAACGCAGTTCTGCATTCTGATTTCTGATTCATGGAAAATTTGTGTGGATAATTTTTCACCGGTAACAAAACAACGACAGATCAATGCCTCACATATTCGGCGGATACACCATTGACCTCCGTGACATGACCTGTGACATCATCACCTACCTCCGGCTCGTGGTCCTCCCTCATCATGGCGTCCTGTGGAGTCGCTCCTCGGACTCCTGCGTCCACTGACTGTGCCGCCGTGAAACGTTCACTCAGCACCCCGTCCACCGTAGAACATCGCCAAACACCAGAAGTCCACTATTGTTCAGTCGTTCAAGATCGAACGTCCGTCCTGCACGGCAGCAGAAGTCTCATCGCGCGGGAATCGTCCAGAAATGTTCGCTCCACACCGCGCGCCGCCCCCACGGGCAAACACATCTCACCTCGGTGGCCTACCACCGTGGATTGTCCACCGTATAGCGTCACAGTTGTCCACAGATTATCGTCACACTCTAAACACCACACGAACGTAGTTCGCCCCCAACCTTTCTCCGGGACGGCCCACGAGGCACTCCGGCTGCGATACCTCCCAGCTGGACGGTAACCTGCGCTCCGCGCGCAGCCGACCGTCCGGCAAAAACGGAACGGCCAGAGCGGCAGCCAATAACGAGACGGGCTGCGGCAGGTAAAGTGAATCTGCATATAATAAAATGGTTTTATGGCTGTTAGGAGTAATTTACAAATACACTTGGTGAACCACTTGAAAGAAAAATGAACTTTCCTGTAGATGCAATACTTATTGTTTACACAAAGTTGAAGAACAAAAGGATCTGTTAACCCTCGCCCGCACATGGGGGGGGTGGTTGCCACCCCCCCCAGGCAGTCTTTCTGCTCTGCACTCAACATTTTTAGAACTAGAAGGCTGATTTTTCGTATAGCTGCTCGTCTATCCTTTCTTGATGTCCACTGAAAATTTCAAGTTTCTGTGATTTTTGGTTTCGGAGATATGACCTTGTTTTTCAGGTCATGTCATAACCCAAATGGCCAATTCTCAACATCTCGCGTTTGCCATGGGCCTTGTGAGCTTTTGACACCCTGATTTCGGCCTTTTTTGCCAGTCTTACCTCCCACCTATCATGGAACATGTTGTTCGACGATGTACAGGGGTCAAGGTCAGGGTCAAGGTCAACCTAGGTCATCTAAGATAATTGCGTTTTAGGCAAGCTGAATTTACTTTTTGTGAAGTTTTTTGACTGCATTTTTGGTAAAAGCTTCTCAGATCATGATTTCATGTGATATGGACCCAAAAACAATCGGTGCACACATCAGTATACACACAGACACACACAGACATACAAGCACATATAATTGACCTTGACCTAACTTGACCTGAAATGACCTCAGCAGCAAAATTCTGGTCGGATAGTGTGAAAAAGAGGTTCTAGCTGGCTTGGCACCAGAAAACAGCATCGTCATCGGTATTTGATAAGCAGCGCACTTGATATCCAACGGTGACCCAAAACAGCAACATTTTTTAGTTTGACCTGACCTGGAAGGTCAATGACTGACCTGAGAAGGTAAAACTGGGTATCATTGGATTCGTCTCTTCCCAAAGAATCTTTTTGGTCTTTACTGCTAAGCTCTATCTCCAACAGGAACGAAATGGCGTGGGGGGGGGGTGGCAACCCCCCCCCCCATGTGCGTTCTAGGATGGGAAAATGGCATGTGCGGGCGAGGGATTACCTGCGTCATTACCCCAACTCCAGCCGAGGTGCCTTGCGGCGCAGCATAGCTTACGGCGCTACACGCTGCTGCCATCTATTGACAAAATTTAGCTGATGAGCAGTGTCGTACGGAACAGCATGCGCTTAGGGGATATTCCATTCCTGGCTCGCGCTCTGTCGATTACATCAATATGAAATGCGATATAGCAAATAATATCAAATATACATGCATTCTTTAATAAGCCTATTTCAAATGTAATGCAGCTACAGCTATAAATATGTGCATGCGTTGCTTTTCGTGTAGGGACTTTTTGCACTTCTCGGCTGAGGTAAAGCCGCTTACGTTCCTCAGTCTCTGCGTAGGGGAGAGCGGGGAGAGTTGTATCATGTCCAAGTTGTATCAGGGCGAATTGTGCCAAACTTATCCAATGGATGGCGCTCGTGACACGACCAGCCGACGAGGTTTTCCGGGCGCCATCTTTCCATGTTCTGTCTTGTGGCTGAGTGGACGCGTCTCGAGGTGAGAGCCGATTTTATGTTTTTTTAATGTCATTCTAAAAAAATAAGTTGCAAGAAAATGTGTGTTCTGGGCATTTAGATGTGCACGAATTTGATAGATCTCCGGAGCGGTGGTGAGGGTAGGTTCTAAGGCTGCGTGAGTGAAAACGGATTTCTCCAGCTGTCCGCTGTTTTTTGAGCACGAGGATGTTTTTTCCAAGATGGCGGCTAGGTGCATGTTGTATCAGAGCCGGGTGGGGTATGCTGTAACATGTATGTATGTATGTATGTATGTATGTATGGGTATGTTGCTTTTGATCGCGAAAGCTAAGCCCTGGCTCGCGTTTGTAGGTAGCTAGTCAATGCTCGTTCCATTTCGGCACAATGTGTTGGCTTCTTTGCTCTTAACGGGCCACTTTCGCGTCTAGTCTGTTGATGTTTCGTTCGGATTGCATTGACCTAAGTTTGGTCTAATAAAGTGAAGCCTTTGAGCATACCTATACATTGTATTAACCCCATTTAATGTTGTTGTTATGTTCAAAACCAGTAGCAAGCACACTCCCTGAAACGTGAAATAGTGATACAAATTACCCCACCATGTGATACAACTCACCCAAGCCATGGGGCAAGTTGTATCAAAAACATTGTTCTATTCGGGAGACCGTAGAAGAAAAACTGGTAGAGGTAGCGGAAAAGTTAGGTACTTTGCACAAAAAAGCAGAAGAATCAAGGAAGGGGAAAGTATGGAAATAATGAGTTTATCACGGATAGTTACGAGGTTATGGGTCTCGGAGTAAAAACTGATACAACCCACCCCACTCTTCCCTACAGCAATTTATGCGACCACTTTGACATAGGCATTCGCGCCAGTGTAAAAATCAAAACAGTTTTGAACCTACCAAATAGTTTCATACCTACATAATCCCGACAACATGAAGTTATGTTGAAATCAAATAGGCAGCACAATCTTCAAAAGAAAGCAGCAGACGCCGAAATTTGTTGGGCTGGTAATTCCAGAGAAAACACTGAATATTGACGGACTAAGATTTGTAGCTCTTTTGCATGATCATGATAGCAAAACCATGAATTGTCCACATCAGCATTGCAGTCCATGTACTGAGTTTACCCAAACATCGGAAAACAGCCATGTGACATGAATAAAAGAAAGTTGCACGTATAGCGACAAAATGGGCAACGTTGCAGCTAGACACAGAAATGACCTTTATTTCGCTTCAAGAAAACAACCAGCGATGTTTCTGAAAAGGCACGAACACCATAAGTCAACATCATACAAATGCAACCAAAGTACAAAGCCAACTTAATACTTATCTATTATGCCCTGTGGGTATTCAAGCCTTCCATGAACATATGAACTTCTATGCGCATGTGTGCTTCCCAGCAAACTTAGTCGGACGGCGGTCACACAAACTTGCAAACATAAACCAAGTACTTCCCAAAAGCTGTCCTTGCACTCCGGCAGGACAAACGAGGGGACAGCTGGAACATGAATGCTGGATAACTAACGTCCCACACCATGTGTACAGGGTGAGCCATAAAGATTTACCCATCGAAAATTTAACTTTGTTTCAAGGCGCGCTGACATAGCTATGTCATCTTTTACATACATATAACAACGTCATCTCCTAACTAATAAATGTAGTATGTTTTCTGTATGCTTGCATTCTTCTTATGTTACGCGCCCGAGACGCAAGAGCACTATGGCACGCGGCCGCCGCACCGTCTTTTCACTTATTTTCCTCGATCACCCATGCTATAACAATTATGCTGCTCCGTATGTCATTTGCGGTGTTTCAGGGACTCGGTAGAGTCGGGTTTTCAGGATATTTCAGTTTGCGAAGCCCGTGGGGCTGAAGTCGGGGATAAATTGTGCCCAGCATTCTTTAGACCAAGGAGTGTTCAGCAGCCAACACCCAGTGGTGATTCCTGAATTGCAGGACCGGCGGATGTGCGTTAAGACGACCTCGCATTTCAGGAGCGTAGCAGAGACAGTGGACGAGCATATACAAAATGAGCTACACTGTCAGGATTGGAGACAAATTTGCGACATATATGCAAAAGATGGCATACCTACGCCAACCCGTTTGGAAATAAAGTGAATTTATCGATGGGTAAATCTTTATGGCTCACCCTGTATAATATCGAATACCACCACGGGCTGCTAAGGGAACAATGCCATATGTTACACGTTACCCGGCAAACGTCATAACTAACGCGCCTGTTCTCAGCACTCGGTGCACACGTCTGGCCACCCAGTCTCACCGCAGTGACATAACGAGAAACGTACGGCCGGCCGGCTATCACCACGCCCGTTAGTTGTAACGACAAATAAGCAGATGACGCGTATTTTTAGCACCGCAGCCAGTCGCCGGCTCGTCTGCGACTCGGCGGAAGACAGCCGCGGGGTGTCTCAGGCCGACACTCTACCGACAGGATGTTTACCCGCTCGGCGGAGGCTCGTGCACTCGGCCAGTGCTGTGCACGCAGCGTGCAGTGCACAGCGCGAGCGCGCCGCTGATGCGAGTGCACCCCGCCGAGCTTTTCAGCCGGGCGGCGAAGCGGTGATATGTGAAAATAAACGGAACACAGCGCCGCACGCCGCACATCAATCGGCTTGCTCGGCGAGCTCGGCGGCCTTGCAGGCCGAGATGGCTGTCAGAATGGACCGAGATCTCCAGACACGCAGGCACTCAGCTCGTGTGAGCGTCCCGCCGCGTTGTCTGGCGATCTGTCGGAGCTACGCTGCGGTGTTGAAGGGAACAAATCACCATCGCGGAGGAGTTGACGCACGTCTCGGCAGATGAGGCGCTTGGCACATCCATCATGCGTGCGCCGCTGTCAGGTACTCACTTATCTAGGGGCTATCGGCAGACATCGGCGCACCTCGGCGCCTGAGCTCACCAGCCGAGCTCACAGGCTGTGTGAATTTTAAATAGTGTCGTGTCGGTGGACACTGGCTCCTAGACTGGCTATACTGGGTGTCGTCTTCTAAGATTGGCGATGGATTACGTGAGTATTTGATAGTTTATCTGAGCTTTTCAATAACTTATGCTGATGATAGCCGTTTATCAATACAGAGGCGTTTATAAAAATGTACACTCTATTTTTCAAGTCGCATAACAATACGCTTGCTATGCTTTCTTTGGTACCGAACGTCAGCATGAGCATGCATGACTCGAATCCGTTTCTTTTATCTCTAACGTTTCAGCATAAATATATTGCAGATCTAGAGGTCTTTGCTCCCCTGATATCTCCCGAGATCTGGCAATAATAACAGCTGCAGCGGTGAATATTGACATTCTCCGCCTGTCTGCATCTAAGCACGCGAGGACCGCATGCCGACCCTGTGGCTTCTGCGAACTCCGAGACCCCCGATAGCGCACACGGCAAACAGCTCCACCCAGAGAAGATTATTTTCGTACCGGGTGGCACGCGATCCGGCGGAGCACCAGCTGACATACGGTATGAGGTACACGGATTCACACTTACCACGGCTAAGCAAAATAAATGCACACTTACTAACTGGTTCAATTACGAGTCCATTGGCTTACGAGGAATGTGTTTAATACTAATTTGATAATAACCGTTTCACTATACCACCGCTGTTATATAATAATAGCATATAGGTTCATGAACGATTTAAATTTATGCACACAGGCAAGCTGTAAAGCTGGAGACCAGCAAAAACCAGTCATAGAAAGTCAACTAACAAAATCGCTCAGTCATGGACCACAACCATCATCACAGTCACAGGGGCACAATAAATCAATCACAGATTTGTAACTCCCCCGTTCTCATCCCTCTTCCACCCACCCCGTCCTCTCCACTATTGAACTAACCGCTCTCTCGGTCCCCCACACTCCCCCGGTCTGCTCCGCTGAATGTGGGCGGCCCCGCGGCCCGTGACGCAATTGTAAAACAGCTCTCTCGCGCCGGAAATGTCACTGCGCCGACCGCGGCGCCGGAAGTGCCGCACTCTGCTCCGAAACATCAGCCTCATAACGGTCAGCCCATTCGCCAAACGCCCTTCCATCGCGCTGATGCAATCTACGGATGGTCATGGAATGGTTCTGTTAAGGGCAGAGGCGGTTATACTCCGCAGAGGCGGTTATATCAAAACAGCGATGCCACTCCTAGATTTCTCTCTAATCAGCTTTTCGTTAGCGGCTCGACTGAAATTCGATACAGATGCTCGATCACACGGAAGGGATGCATAAGACCAATACACAAGCAGCCTATACGAGTAAGTACATGCCTACAGCTTATACAAGATTAGTGGTCCGAAAAGATTGCACTACTGCGGTGCGGTCTGCGGACCGACAGTCAGAATGCCGCATGCAGACAGCACGCGGTCAACAATTCCAGCCACAACGCAACATTCCGCTGAGACGGTTAAGTCATCACACCGGGTAATATATCATGTAGTCGCTGAGCAATGGCAGTGTGGGGTGTTCGGTGCATACGGGATGACTGGAGCTGACGTCAGGGCATGACAATCGACGTCAGTGACGCCGACAGCCAGTGAACATGTTGGTGAAAATGGTGATCGGCGTTGAGGCCACTGATGGCTCCTAAGAGCTAGCAATGAGTGACAACATGCTGTACATACATACATGACCATTTAATAACTTAGAATGACCAGTGAGGACCTTTGTGAAACCTCCGGTTGCCAACTACCGTCACTGGGCAAATAAGAGCAAGAGCATAAACAACTGAACCATAACTATGCCCACTGCAGGCATACTTAACCGGTAAGCTCGTGTAGTCCCTTTGAGTGCAATGGATCCCTGCAACTTATGATCCTTCGGGCGAACACTAACTAACCGATGTCATGCGCTGTATCGTATCCTGTAGGTATGCACTTAAGGCGATCCCGTGGGTAACCAACCAACGGTAACCACAAGTGAGCAGCAGTGCCGAGCCGGCTGGCAGTAACCACTGATAACCACCGTCAGCTGGTTCCTGCCACCTCGCACGTGTCCCGTCGGGCTCCGACTACTCAGTAACGGAGCCGAGCCACTACCAGAACACGGCCAAAGCCGATTTAGAAGTGAGCAGATTAAATCGACATCGCGCCGGTAATGGTAAGAAGTTTGCCGCCAACCTGTTTGGCAGCAGCTTCACGCCGAAACCTGCTCCGATTGCGGTGGCAACAGGAGTTACAAATTTAGAGTGACGACTGATGACACATACTTGCGAAACGTGCGATGGTTCTGTTCACTGCTACTGCAGGTACCCATTTTTATAAGACATGGGTAAAAATGTACTTATTTATGTCGGCAACGAACGTAAGTATGTGAGTGAGCGCAGGAGAGACGTTTTTCTGGGAATTTGATCTCACCAGAAAACATCAGGTTATGCTCCAAAGCACAGGCTGCGTTTGACTGCACCGCAGCGGACTGACAGCGGGCTATTGTCACCAAACAATATGAGTGAAGTTTCTCCCTTTTTGCGCTATAAATCACTTTGGTGTCACGCAGGCGCGTCATGGCTCCCTGAAGAAACGTCATGTCTTAACAACCACAGCGGGAGTTGAAGATCCTATGAGAGAGAGCGCATGCCGCATTTACAAACTTTCGGAACCCGAGAGCGTCAAAGTCACCGCCTGCCACCCGTCACCCGAACAAGCTCCCGTGGTCATCTATCTTCGCAGCAGAAGCCCCGGGGCATCACGCTACCACGCGCCCCTGCAGTGGCAGTCCTCAGCCGAGCTCCGGTCACGTGATCGCCCGGTCACGATTCGCCCCAGGTCACGTGACCGCCCGCTGCGAGTTATCACCTGTTTGTCAGCAGCGGAGGGGGGGGGGGGGGGGGAGGCGGAGCTAGGGATGACGCCGGGCCGTCCCGCTGGGTGGGTGACCGGACAAAGCGCCGATAAGATGGCTCAATCACGGCAGTAGCTCTCGCAACCGTTTAAAGCCCCAGCAGGAGCAGCACAGTTCCTTCGTCGTTCTCAATCGACATAAATCCTTTCTAAGTACCTACCTTAATGAACTCGTAAATCCACGTGTCGAAACCTAATCATTCATTTGCCGACTGGTTGCTAACACGATATTGCTACACTCACGCTCCACATCTAACAATAGCGCAGCCGATAGACTGTTTAGTGTTTACGTGAACTTCAGAAATGTAACTCGTTCACTAGGAGAACCCAACAAGAGCCGTGACCATTTAGTATGGACTTAAGTCTCAAACCGTTGCTAAAATGTCCGAATCAAATTAATTGGTTAAAAACATTTCAATAAGCAACGTCAGTGCGGATACTTGTCCGCTCTATCCTCATTCTCAACCATGCGTAAAGAGAAACATGTAGCTTCGAGCTGCCAACACACACACGCCTGTTGTGTTTTGTCATTCGACACGAACATTTCCAACGGAAATGAGCCCGATGACTGGCTGTTTTCCGCCTTCTAATCCATCATCTCCGCGCGGAATCCGCCAGTCACCCCATCAGTACTGTTTCTCTCACTCCACTCCGTGACAAACACTCCCATAACTCCCCAACTCGCCGAGTCACTCCGCTCCAAACAGCACGCGTACATACAATAACACATCTCGATTTATTTCCCAAAATAGGCGACCACACCGACACAACAAGGGGTGGCGGGGACGAGCGAATGGAATGTGCACTGAGCTCTGGGCGACCTGCCAGCTCGCCTGGACAGGTCACGAGGTCACGAGGTCACGGGGGTCACTGGGGGGTCACAGGGGATCACAGGGTCAACATGATAGTCCAGGTACGTGGCAAATCGTGATGGGGAGGGGAAGGTAAGTCCGGGATGGAATAGTCAGGTCAGGAAACCGTTTTTGTCACTTGTCAGAGAGAAAGTCAATATTACGAGTCAGGTGACGGACCAATGAAAGGAAAGGCTGGAAGCAATGACAGTGGGGGAACCGGGATAGAAAGAGCACGGCAACGAAAAAGCTCACTGGGGAAACGGATGACTGGGTCGATTGTCACGTTTCAGAAACTGAAAGAATCCGAGGGGGCATAGATTTAATACTTACTTCGAATTATTTTCAAGGGCTTTACGTATTTCAAAAAGCGACCAGAGTCCAGAACGCTGTAATAAGAAACGAACGTAAAAAGAACCAGAGGGACCGCGTGCCACGTGCTTTTGACCACGATACGTGTGCCCAATTTTAGCAGTGTCCCCTTTGAACATCAAGGCCCGTGTGCGTGCACACCCTAGTGCGACAGACGCTACCCCGCCGTCGTGTCAAGGCAGCAACAGTGGACCTCTGAGATTGACCGCGACGGCTTCTGCCGGCCACAGGCGGCAAAGGCACGGTGGTGAGGACAGAGTGGAGAGGGTGGGGAGGATAGAGTGGGGAGGTGGGAGAGGGGAGATAAGGGGGTGCTGTCTTGGACCCTAGATATTGCGACACGGAGCGCCGTGTACTCGTTACACCCGGGGGAGGAGTGGTCAGGACACGGCCAGAGGCCAGGTCAGTCACCAGTTTGGCACAAGAAGGTTGGTCAGTTGCCGAGCGAGCGGAGCGGAGGGAGAGAGGGGCGGAGGGAGGTGGGGAGAGGGCGGGGAGTGTCCACACATCACGACACAATCCATTGGCAGGCTCGGACATTCAGTGCCGTGACAACAACACCAACAAAACAGGTGCGTAACAGCGGCGGCCGGCGGGCGGCGACATACCACGCCTCTGACCGACCGCTCCGACCGCCGCCGGCTCGCCCAGGTCGCACCACAGGGCCGGCCGGGGCCCGGACAGACAGCACAGACATGGCACGCCACGCGAGCTCAGCACGACACCAACAACTGGCTGCCCGAGGCGACCACACTACACTCGGCCGGTCCGCAGCTGGGTAAAGCACTGTACCGCAAACACACATACAACCGCAGCTCAGTTATAATTAACCTCCGCGGCGCTCCGGGATATATAATAAATAGCATGCTAGACTGACGACCAATACAAAACAAGTATCAAAACCCACGAAAACGAATAACCCCATTACAGTACAGTGGCGCCTCACTGAGGCACTAACAACCGATTCGACAGTGACAACGGCCACTCTCCGTGCTGAATTACACAAATGCAGGCACAAACGAAGGCATACGGGCTGGGATAAATAGTGCATTGAATCAATCACTCAACCAGTAGGGTCGACGCGCAATCGCCAGCGATGGAATGATGGCCCGCACTGCTAACATGATTAAAATGGTCGGGTAGACGCCAGGTCCATGCCAAGACGGTAGAGACCGCAGAAGGGAGGCGGTATAAAACAGGATCAAAGAAGGCTGCTTGAACCCGAAGATAATAAAACACAGTATTTGGTAGGTGAAAGTGAAGAATAGAAACAACGGAACCGACAGAACCGACACATAGATATCCAGACGAGAGATCAGACAGTCCGATGACCTAGGAATGGCTCCTCATTCTTGGTGTGGCGTCACGTCAGTCTTCAGGGCGTCATGAACGTCGCTCTCCCAAGGCACTTGCACCCACCGACCACTATCACAGACGGAACATATTTAGACCGGTCAGCCGCAGCGCAGCCGGGATCACAGAAGGTCCTTCAGGATGACCAGATCGTCCTCACGAGGACTGCAGTCTCCAGACCGTCCCCCACAGACGGGATGGTAACTCGGAGGACATAGTCCTCGGACTGTCCTCATGAGGACTGGAGCCCACAGAACGTCCTAAAGGAACGAGATGTTGGCTCCGACGGTAGCCTTGGGGAGAGAGTCCTCGGATCGTCTCACGGAGACTGGAGTCCTCGGGCTGTTCTCACGAGGACGGGATGTCCTCAGACGGTCTCCCGGTGGACGGTTGGTCTTCAGACGGTCCTCACAGGGCACGTAGTCCTCCCACTGCGCTCTCATCACGCCACCGAGGGCATACCGTTCTGCTCCAGACGCTCCCCTACCCCGCTGTACTCGCTCGTCCTGCGGGAGAAACAAAAAGCATAATCAGAATCAGAACAATAACGGTATGAGGGATAAGACGAAAAAAGTATCAGCCAGGGAGGGTCAATGATATCGTCAAATTTCATTCGTTCTTATATCTGAGTATAAGAACGTAGCAAAGTCAGCCTCCACAACAGCACTTTACTAGTTCATTACTCGTACGACAGCGAGAAAGAGTTGCAACAGTACAATTATCCCCTTTATCTGTAAGGCAACAGATGAAAACAAACACCTGTCCACATCAATCACAACACGGTCAACTTTCCCAGCAGCTGATACACCACAATCCTTTCATCTACTGGCTAATCACCAGCCAGACACCCCCTGACGATCCCGAACCCACCCCATACATATACCAACTAGAAATCCCCATGACTCCTCGCTCCCTCCCTCCTCTGTCCGTTGTCTGCTCTCAGTCGCCTGACCCACAGAGGCGGTCGATGGTGGCCACTGGCCAGGGCACGTGCCAGTTGGCGTCACGGACCGCAGTATATAACACTTGGCCCCTACCCCCTCCCCGGCCCGGCGCGGGTCTAGACCGGAAATACCATGCCGCTGCGACCAACACACCACGCTACAGGCCTCAGCCAATACCAGCGAGAGATATCGTGATAGCGAGACCAACCGGTGGCTACCGCGGATTCCAGGCAGCTATGACTTATGGATGAAATGTGAATTTGCATATTGTGGAAGCTGGAATAGCCAAGTTCGCCGTAATGGCGCAAAGGCCACCTTCGGAGAAGACGGACATCTGGATATCTATCGTGAACACTCTTCCACCTTTCACTCTTACCTATCCCTTCACCTTCCGTTCCGAGTTTCGACCCCTCCCTGGCCTGCCCATGTCCCAACCGGTACCCCCGTATCCCTTCCATGCCACCGATACTAACCTCACCACGGGTACCGACGACACACTAAACCCCCACTCTCCCCCAGATACTGACCTGACCACGGATACGGACCCCACTCTCCTCCAGATACTGATCTGACCACGGAGACGGACGCACCAAACCCTCACTCTCCCCCTGATACTCACCTGACCACGGATACGGACGACAGTGAGGTGCTGCTGGACCAGGGCACCGTGGAGAGAACCTCCATCGGGTGGCTCTCCTCGGCGCGGCGGCGGCGCAGCATGGCCCGCGCCACCGGCGACGGGCGGAACGTGTGCTGCAACGACCGCGTCACCAGTCTGCGGAAAGACAGGGGGGAAAGATCGTTAGACAATCGTTATGATACGGACATAACGACAGAATATGACGGACAGGTGGTATTAGAACAGATAGATTGATGGGCAGATGGACAGATAGACAGTCCAGTATGTGATTTTGGGTACTGCAATAGGAACACTGGCAATTAAAATGACACTTATTTATATACGGATACACACCTCCAAGATAAATATATGCTCACTGCGCAAATGATTCAAAGTTTCTGCCATATCCGGTCCTACAGCTCCATTGCACATTTCAATCGAATGTTAGTTCGAACTGAGCCATCCAGTCTCCAATCTAACCATCCCCCACCGGCCGGCGGGCCACAGCGCCGACCGTCCGCGCAGCCCGTCCGTCTACCGGCTCGCCGCCGCAGTCGCATACGTTATCCCCATATGGTGTGGAGGGATTGGAACAAGGCGCGGCGGCCGGCCGGGAGGTGGGTCGGGGTGGCAGCGCCGCACCTGGTCGGGGTCAGGCCGCGGTGAGTCAGAGTCAGACCGGTGAGTCAGGTGAGTTAGGAGCGAGAGTCATGGTAGCGGGAGGGGTCACGGGAGAAATAATGCAATATTTCTATTATGAAGATCGCATGCGATACATGACTGTATTTTAATGCGAATTACGGATACCTATTGAATTTGTGTAATTGAACATGGGCAGATTACGCCATGAAGGGCAGATGTAGACAAGAGTCGGTCGGTGAACTACATCACATGACTTACAACCTTGCATGCAGCCTAGCTCTAAAGTTTCAACCCAGCAAGATTACCATCCAGTCTGTTAAACTCGAATAGCACATTACACCCACGCACAGTTCAACCCATGTCCCCGTGACGCCACGCTACCCAGCCGTGACGTTCGTCCTGTCACGGCCGTCACCAGAGCCGTCACACGGCCGCCTGTGTGATGGTCTGTGACAGCAGCAGCCGGAACTGTCGGCCGCCCGTCACCCCCCCCCCCCCCCCCCGGTACGGAACTCGTGGGGAGAGGTCGCACTCGAGTCGGGCTTCAGAGAAGAGCGGGGGAGGGAGGCCATCTACCTAAAGCGGCACGCGCCCGACGATCGGAATGCATTTTAGAGGTCATTCAAATGTCTGCGGTCAGCGTTTGATCGAGGGACCCGCCGATCGGGATGGCTGTTCCACCGGTGGTCGGGGAAAAGTCATAAAACTGAGCTGATAAACCCACAGGCACCCGCAGTTGAGCCGGCAACAGAGGCGTGCCTAGCAACACGCCGTAGATGCTTATCGGAACACATTGTAATCCGCGTCGGCGGCAGATGCGTTGGCGATAACCGCACGACAGTAATCTCCAGAGACGGAAAGCCGAATGTTCGTGACGTGAAGTCATCGATCGTATTTTATGAGACAGGCCACGAGGCACCTAACCACCCGTAACCGCAAACATTGCGATGGCAGGCATGATTACTGCGTGGGATGCATATGTGTATCTATGGTCAATCGCGATGACAGCTAACAAATTTTGAAATGCTGACCCGAGCTCTCTCTCTCTCTCTCTCTCTCTCTCTCTCTCTCTCTCTCTCTCTCTCTCTCTCTCTCTCTCTCTCTCTCTCTCTCTCTCTCTCTCTTTCTCTCTTTCTTCCTCTTTCCAGAAAAGATATGCAGCGCTTTTCTAGGGATAAAAATCAACCGTATTTTTCCACCAAAACCCATTTAGGCGTTCCTCCCACTCACCTAGGCAGGACGGCAGTGACTCCGGCCAGGACGGCGGCCAGGTACAGAGTGGGCGAGTCCGTCGTGGCCATCTGTATGACCCAGTAGGAGCCGGCCAGGCTCGGGAACGCCAGACACACGGCGTTGTACACCAGCGCGAACACGAAAAAGAACACCAGCGAGAGCACGATGGCCGCCGCGTGGATCCACGTCTGTGAATGGAGAAAACGGCCGGTTACTCGTGTGTGGGAGAGAGCGCGAGGGCGCTGGAGAGGGATGTAAAGCTGGGGTAGGGGAAATACTAATGCGTGAAATGCACCTGCACAGGGCCAGGCATCGAGATGCAAGTCCATAGTCAGGGATACATTCCATACTTCTTTACTGACCCTCACAGTGAAATAAATCCTGTGCATAATCGACACACATCGCAGCAAGTTCTCGCATTTGTTTATAGTTTCTCGAAACAGCGGTTACACAACTACCCATATCGATAAGCGTCTTTTGCGCTTCCCCGTAACAGGCACTCCTACTTTGCATTTTCTAGGAACCAGTAAGCCATGGCATACAGATAAACCTCTCATGTCCTTTATCACGATGGACAGTCCGTAACACTACTGACACTCAAGACACTCTACACACTCGCTCTTTCTCGCGCGCTTTCCTCACTGTCAAGCCTGTCTATTAGAGCGCTGCGCTACCCATAACTCTCTGGATCCCCTGTTGTAGTGAATCTGAAAACCCACATCCGGCATCGTAGTAAAGCGCCTCATGAATGCAACACGGGAGGCAGACCTTATCAAATCATGTGAACATTGCCCACCTGTCTCTAGACTCGAACGCAAAAATACTCCGACAACACGCTCTGAAATCTGTTACTGAATGCCGATGTCGCCTGGTATACATCTATCAGCAGTTTGACCGGGCAAGATTTCATTCAAAGTCATACCAACAGATTCAATCACCTCTCGATGACCAATGGCGACCTTCCGGCGACCGCACCAGACGCCACCTGCGCGTTAGTTTGCCAAGAAGCCAGCCGCGCTACACGAATGGGGCGGGACCGCTGCGTTAAAATGTACATACGACCACCGAGATCCGTCCTGGCGGGCGGATGGGCGAGGGGGCGCCGGGACACTCACCCATGACTTGATCTCGATGCAGGCGTGTAGCAGCATCGTGACCAGACACATGACTGTGACGGTGGTGCCAAACTCCCAGATGTCCACCGACGTGTCCTCATAGGCCTGTGGGCATGCCGGGGACACGGGACTCGTTAGTAATACAGCGGCAGATACCTACGACTGAGCGTTCACCCAAGGCGGGATGAGATATGAATGTGTACGAAAAATGGCGGTGAGAGGCATATTTTAGATACTCAGCAAAGAGAAGGAGCGAAAAAGGAGATTGGTAGGAAGGGATAGAGGGAGAGGGACAAAGAGGAGAACATGAGCGGAATACTTGCTGCAACCGATCAAAGGATATCAACTGAATTCCACTATTCAGCGCTTTTCAGGGCGTTAAGCCGAGGCCTGGACTACAAAGTGCACACGATTTGAGAACACCCTAGAAACAGTATGAATTCGAGACTAAACAGTTCCCCAGAACAGTGTGGTGCAAGAGATGGGAGACAGACCACGCTGGATAGATCTCCGCGATCGTATAATCTATACATACACAAGCCAGCGTACGTAAATTTGAGAGCGAATTCTTCACAGAAGGAGCTAAATATTGAGATGATACTGAAGCGAAGAAGACGTGACATTGAGCTGATGCTCACTCTGCTCGCTATTCTACAGACGGCTACAACGTTATGCAAGCTTTCTCAAATATACCTACATGTGATTTGTAGGTTCTGAAGGCCACTCATATCGTCTGGTTAGCATAAACGGTAGTAAACCATCTTCAACTAAGAAAACAAGCCGGTCGAAATTCTTTCGTCTCTTCCGCGATAAAACAAGATGATGTTCAGTTTATGTGCAGTTAGCCAAACATTGGTCTCAAGGACAGAGAACGTAGACAAAGAAGTGAAATGATACACCACTGGCAACACTTCTTTTATGTCCTTCATAAGGACCGCTATGATATGCTACAAGTCAGCGCATAACATTTCCTCGAACAACCTAACAACCTCCCACAGAGACCCAACTCGTGAATGTGATCCCAAAAGTCCCCAATCCCAGCACGCACCTGCGCTGCGAAGAAGAATATGACTATGCTCTGGTAGAGGGCGTCGGCCATGTTGACCCAGAACGAGTGGGGTTTGTAGACCTGTGATAACCGGCCTTGGTTGTAGAGGTGCGGCTGTGCCATCAGCAGCTCGGCCGGACAGTCCTGGTCGTAGATACCTGAGGGAAACGGATTAAATGCACAGGTCAGACAGCTTAACGTCCAGGGATCCGACGCCACAGATGAGGCAACGCAGCAAAGTATCCAACGCGACGCTGACGTGTCCAGTGAATTCGAGAGGATGTCAGCAAGCACAGTTAAAAAACTCAAATATTTAAAGTATCTTCTATAATCAACATACCAATATCTATCTCTAATCTCACAAGCTCCACTTTAGCTCAGCCACTAAACTGTGAAAAACTTGTAACGTTCTATCACTTGTTGCAGGGCCACACCTCTCTCCGTCCTCACCGATGGCGAACGGCGGCAGCGATGTGAACATGAGGTTAAACAGCGACAGGTAGATTTGGTCGATCATCACGGCGCCCGAGAAGCCGCAGTACAGCTGATACCAGAAGATGACGAACACGAAGGTGGCGTTCTTGTAGAGGAAGTAGAGCACCATGCGCGCCAGGCGGTCGTAGCACCAGTGGCCGTGGACGAGCAGCAGGCGCTGCAGGTAGCGGAACCGGGCCAGCGCGAAGTCGGAGGCCATCACGGCCTGCATGCCCTCCTGGCCGGAGATGCCCACGCCCACGTCCGCCGTCTGGATCATCGAGACGTCGTTTGCGCCGTCACCTGGCGGGGGTGGAGGGAGGGGGGCAGTTCAATGTTCACTGCTCGGCAGCAGCTAATGAGGCACCGTCAATATTTTCAGGGCAATGCAGACTCCAAACGAGATAAAGATCAAACAAGATGAAGGTTCCTTACAAACAAGCAAAATCTTAACTGGATCACACTTTTTACGGTACTTCGCAAAAAGAGAAGAAGAAAATGCTCAACTTCGAAAGCGTCTCGGAGACACCTTGCACCTTTCTGAAGACCAAAAAGTGTCATAATAACAGCCCACATTCAAGAAAACTAAAAGCTGACTGGACCACCTTACAGGCTTCTCTATTGACCGAGCCAACGTATCGCTATCGAGCGAGCTCTCTACCCTACCATCCCGCCCGTGCCGCCACCTACCGACTGCCAGGGTGAGCGCCCCCAGCTGGTTCTTGACGATGCGCACGATGTAGGCCTTCTGCAGCGGCGTGGTACGACAACAGAGCACGGCCGAACAGTGGCCGGTCAGCCGCAGGAACGGGATCTGCAGCTGCGACCGAGAGTCCAAAAAGTACCTGCGCGGACAAACAGACAAACAAATGTTATGGAGAGCTGAAGAATGAGTAGCTTGATTTCCACTGTAATACTTAGGTTTGTCCACGACTTTTTGTAAAGTGACCAAGAAATCAGCTGTAATTTCAGCCTACGACAAGCAGAAAAATGGATACTATACTGGTCATACGCACAACCGACAAACTCAGCTCCTACAACACAACAATTGAAAAGCCTCCAAAACCAGCACCAACCGAGCCCCAAGTCCGTGGCCACTCACGTGAGCGTCTTTCCGTCGACGACGAGCGCCTTTTTGCCGCCGCGCTCCACGGTGCTGGCTGTGTCGGTGGACCAGAGGCTGGCCGGGGTGGGCGGCCGGCGCTTCCAGCCGCCGCCCCCGCCGCCGCCGCCCGCGCCGGCCACCTCCGCCCGCTCCCTCTCCAGCTGGTCCAGGTAGAAGTTGACGGTACGCTCCGCGGCGTTTTTACTCCTGGGGGAGAGTACAATATGGATCTATCAGGGGCAGTTTGAAATCTGGTGGTAGAGAAAGGCGCTGTGCTGTACCACATCATTGGCAGTATCCGCGTGTTTTAGTCTGTCGATATTGCGATAAGACAAAAATTTGTGGCACTAGCGGGACCGCTACGGTTATCCGGCGTGACGCCCTAGGCCATGGGAAACCTACGCCCTTCTGTACGCAAGTGAGCTTCCTCCCTCCGCCACCGGCCGTCCTTACCTGGCGTTGATTTTGATGACCTCCATGTCCTGGCTGAAGAGCCGACACGAGTAGGCGATGTTGATGGCCGTCTCCTGTTTGTCTCCAGTGAGCACCCAGACGACGATACCGGCCTCTCGGAGGGCGCACAGCGTCTCTGGTACACCTTCCTGCAGACGGTCCTCGATACCCGTACACCCTGAGATGGGGGAGGGGAGAGGGAAGGTTAGATACCAGTATGAGTATACCTTGAGATGAAAGAGGAAGGAGAGACGAGGGCAGGAGAGGGGAATGAGGGTAAGCTAATACCAGTACACCCTGAAAGGGGTGGGTCAGCTGGCAGTATGTACAGTCCACAGCATAATTAGTAATGTGCGGTTTCAGTCCTGGGTATGTTCTGCTTCTGAAGCTTAGGAATGATTAGCCAGACCACAATGAAACTTTGACTGTAGCAAACCTGTATCGTTACCCTTGCAGCTGCAACTTTATTTATTGACGTCTTCTTTTCAATCAGTCCGCATTAAAAAATCGCCAGTCAAAGCCATCTGTTGAGATTGGTAAAACCGCACATTACTTTAGCGGTGGGCTGTACACCTTGACAAGGGAGTGAGGGGAGGAGTTGATAACCATACGTCCTGAAAGGAGACTAGGAAGAGATGACAAAAATGCCTTGACGCACGATATTGGTATTTTGACAGTGCAAGCAGTCTATACTCGTATATTTGGGACCGATTAGTATTCACATGCATTAGTGTGAGTCACATGACCCACCCCAGTCCTATGCCCAGTGACTCACTGCATTAATTGAGGCCGCAACCAACCCCACTTTATATGACTCACGATGTAAATGAGGAGGGGTAAATCCATCCCTCACAACACACCTACGCCCCTTCCCAACCCGAACCAATGCATACCGAGCAGCTCGAGTCGGTTCTCCATGGCGGCGTAGGACCGCTGCAGCTTGTGTTCGCGGCCGCCGACCAGAGACTCGGCCTCCCGATGGGCGGTCAGCCAGTCCTGGTACTCCTCCTCGGAGAGGTTCTGACGGAGACGGGCCAGGGAGGTCACAGGGGTCATGCAGGTATGTTATAGCGGATCAGGTATGCGACGGCTATAATCGGGGCAGCTGGTGGTGATCAGGTAATATAGTCGTCCGACAGACTTCAGGCAGGTCAGAGCCGAAGGAATCCGAAAACGCACAGGTAAGTGGACTCAAAGAACCGTCAAAAGGGAACAAACGAGTCTAGGGTAAGATGGTCAAGACAGGCAACAAGCCACAAAACGGGACTGACAAACGAAGTGAACAACAGGCTGTCTGAAAATAAACAACTTCTCCAAGAAGTTATCAGCGAAAACAGAGACGAAAAAGATATGAGCTCACTCTAACACCCCAACATACGTGCTCCCTGTACACCCGTCGACTCACCTTTTTGGCGAGCACGAGGACGCGCAGTCCGCGCCGCGAGCTGACGTTGAGCTGCTGCTGTGTGCGGTAGAGGATTTCCTGCGACTGGTAGTCGGTGGCTGTCTCCACTAGGGGCAACATGTTCGAGTCGGCGCCCTGGAAAACAGACAGGTGAGAAGAGAGGTCAGTAGGGTGTGAAGACAGAACATCTCCACCAGAGGAATATATGTTCGAGTCGGCGCCCTGGAGACGCGGAGGAGGGGTCAGTGGGAACAAGAGTGGGATGGGTACGACACTCAAAAGGCAGGGAGAGAATGGCGTAGCGCCGTAGATTTGGACACTAAAAGTAGGGAGAGCAATGCATGTCCGTAGGTTGCTAGATCACTGCACTCAAGCAGGTCGAATAATGCTTAGATTGAGCCAGTTACATAAGTAGGATTCAAAATCAGACTGGATTGCTGTTCCACCAGACAACACTTCACAACAATACATAAGAAAACTTCGGCTAACACATGTATGTATGCCAAAATATTTAACATAAGTACGTTGCAAAGTCTCAAAAAATTAATCGACGTAATAGCATTTGAAGGCCGTATTAATTCATTTAATGGATCCTTCCATGTCCTAGCGTGCGTTAAGATGACAGCGGTCCCTCAAGAATGCTCGTTGCACGCAACGCTCTGTGCGTGAGGGGTCGGTTTGCTACAGTCTCCCGTCTTCGACCACAGCCCCATTCCGGTACGTGGGTGAACGTTGGCATTGTAATCCGACACGAAAATGTCATATCGGAGAAAGAGGTTCATGACAGTAATACGTCGTATCCAATAATGAGAACAATAGATACACCGACGCACAAAAGACGCAGTGCACCATCAATTCTACAGCGAGCTAAATCGGGTTCGTGCCCGCTAACCACCATGCGTTGCAGACAACTTTCACGGCGATACGTCTTTGCGTGATTGTCTCATTACTAGCTAGCTTTCTGATCACAATTTTTTTTTCTCGGGTCTATCAAACATTACCCAATGCGAGTCGATCGTCAAATGACCCACCTTCTCCCCTACCCAGTCACAGGTCGATCCGCATTGAACCATCGCGCCAGCCGAGCCCCGGCATCATTCTGACATAACCCGCTGACCGAAATCCCGTAAACCCTATCGACCTGGGAGTTACACCGCGCGCCGGGGGCTCGCATTTCACCAGTGGTCGTATCGCCAAAGACAAATTAACCTAGAATACCGGAGTGAAACCGCTCCGACGCCAGCGGGTCGAGTGATCGACCCAGCGTGCAATGTCTGCAGTGGGGAGTACCGGCGCTTAATAATGCAGGTCAACAGCTCAGCAGCAAGGTCGACACGGGATGCGTCGGTGGCACGGCGGCTGGTGCTGTAACATGTGCCGCGCGATGGGCCGCTGGAGGCTACATTGGACACGCGACTAGCCGTCTTAACCGACATTGGGGCAGAGCTAAATCATCTTACCTGTACCTCATAAACAAGACTCGTGACAGTGCCAACAGAGAGAAATTGGAATGCTAGGAATGCAAGAAATCAACAATGGACAATATGCATCAGCAAACAAATTCGTCATACAAGCAGCCGCACTCACATATTAATCCGCACTAACTCGATACGAAACATCCCAACATTGCTCACTTATTGACACCCCAGGCCAGCCTATACCAGAGCGAAAATGTTCAAATTTCAGCCCAGACCCAGGAACTGCTTGCTGAATAATATAACAAAACACAATACAGGACGTGTTTGTGAAGTACCCCTACATCATTCAATACACCCTGTAGCAAGGCCGTCTGAAAAGTACCCCCTGTACCAAAGTCCCACCTTTGTGTAGAGTACAATCTGCTGCGTCGCCACGTGCCGAAGGATGACGGACATCCTCTTCCTGTCCGAGTCGAATGGCAGCACGTTCAGGATCTCGAACTCCACCAGACCCTCGGCTGTGGACAGAGCGGAGGGAGACGATGAGAGAGAGGGAGTGAAGGAAGGAGGAGAGATGAAGGAAGGGGCGATAGTAATTGTGGTTACGGGGACACGTTAGGATGAAACATGGTAAGACTATTACCCAGAATACATTCTTGTGGGCGTTGACAAAACAACCTGCAAAAACAGCACTCGTAACAAATTAGGGAGTGTAGCTAGAATGAGTTCACAAAAATAAGGAACACAGAAAGAACACATAAGATGTCAAGTGTTGAGCAACACAGCAAGATGTAAAAATGTAACTTTAACTATCTACCCGCCATTTATTGTACAGCAATAACACCCCCACCCCTTAAACTCTACCATTACTTGTTCCGTGACTCCCCACCAGTCAGAGCTCACCTCTCAAGAACCCAGGACAGGCTCAGGACACGAGCCCTTCGATAAGGAGTGCAGGAGTAGGAACCATGCTGACAGGAGCCAGGAACATTTCCATCACAGGACAGGAGCTGGAGGAGGGTCACCAGGTAAAAATTAGTAAAATGAAATAATGTGTCGACGATTAACATAATCTCACAACAGATGACAACCAGCATGAAAGTGAATTGTTACGCAACACGTCATCATCAGTGGCATTCAAACATTACCATAATTCGATTGCTTTCGAAGTCGCACTGCACACAAAGCTACTTATTCATCGTATCACATCACCCAGTAACACTGGATAGTGGATTAGCACGGTGGAAATTGCAGCTCGGGCCCGATCAGCACCGATGGGCAGCCCACCGATCATCGACCGCTAATACCATGAATGACCAAACCTCCGGGACCGACCGTAAATGTCAACGACCCCGCTAACCCCAGAGGGAATTAGGGCGCTGTTACTGCACTCACCCATCACTCCCCGTCAGACCCACCTGGCAGCGACACCACCATGTGCGTGTTGGTCCTTCGGAGTAGTTTGACGTTGTACTTGTAGGCCGCCTCGACCAGGGCCATCTCGTCTGGGCTCTCGGCCTCGAAGATGGGCCGCAGCTCGCGCGGAGTGGGCGTGTTGGAGCGTGACGTCTTACGAGGGAGACTCAGCGGGAGAGAGAGCCAGTCGGTCTTACCGATGGCCAGCTTACCTGTGAGGAGAGGGGAGGGTTAGCACAGAGCGGAGCAGGGCCAGGGGACTGTGCAGTTGGGGCATTTGTCGAGGATTACTCGTCGACTGCCACATTACAACTTCCTATGGACTATACCGAGATATGCAGCACGCAGTACGGCTTCTGAAAAACGACTGTTGCATGATGACACAATCTTATCAATCAAACGATTAAAAACGGGGAGACAACAGCATAATAAAGTTAACTCTAACGCGACAAGGGAACCGAAAATGAGACTAGCAAACGGCGAAAGTTGTAGGCGGGAGCCATAACCAGCGGGACCGGGCATGAATTGATTGAAGCTGTCGTAACAGAGCCAACTTCGTCCATTTCAGCAGCGAAGTTAGCTCAGTTGGTCCATAAGCATATCGTTATGAAGCGCGTATCATATCTAATTCGTGCCGCACTACGATCTAACCAAGATCCAACCACTCAAAGATCAGCTGTAATAGTGGAATACCTATAAACATCTATTAGCAAATGTGAACAAAACCCACCAAGACTGATAAAAAACTTTCGAAGTAATTTCCATGAAAATCAAATAGATAGTTACTCACGTCTCCACTTTTTGGGCGTGCGGACAAAGTCCGGCGCGTCGCTGGTCTCCAGCGGCGCCTCCTCGGGCGTGGTGGCCAGGGTCTGGCTCTGGATGGTCTGGGAGCTCTCGTCGGCACTGTCCTCCAGCAGGGTGGTGCCAGAGGACGACAACTGGGGACAGAGAAATATGGTCAAGGTCAGTGGGTGGGCTTTAGTCGATACATTTTTGCCGGTGCTATAATTGTAATGGCAATCAGCGAGAAAATAGTAACATGGCAAAGGCATCGAAATACAGCTGTAAGCATCAAAACAAACTAGATTGCTTTCCAATGCATCGGTTATCCTTCCCTGTACGAGGGCGCCAAGCATGTCATATAAAAGATACCGAGCGGGTTAGTACTTTTGCAGACATGTGAAGCAGCCGCTTGGGGGCCACCTTGAGCCTATACCACAATTCGTTTAAAACCCAGCACAAGCAGACAGAAGGTCGATCGCACGTGTTTTCTGGTGCTATTTACTGGGCTAATTGCCATTCGAATATGAGGAAGCGCCGCTCTTGCAAAGCGCACTCTAATTGGTATTCATTTTACAGTTCTATTCCACCTGCAGTCGTAACTGACACATATGTATTGCCAGTGGAAAATGAAAATTCACCTCGTTTAACAAGGCAATTAGTCTCTGTCAGCATTCACGGATGTTGTCAGCTTGTATTCAAAGTGGCCGAGCGATGAACCGTTCACCTGCCGTAACTACAGGATGCCATTGCTCCACGAACTAACAGAACGCATTGGCAAATGCCAGCTGCATCGATATCAAACGGTCACTGACGGTAGGATCAATGACGGGTCCACTCCCGGACGATTGGGACAGCGTCCCTATGGGACAGTTACGGCTACCGCTGGGCGGTCGACATGACAATCCTTCAGGGCTTTGAGGTCACGATTGTGGCGTACCGCAAAATAAAATGGACCGGAGACGGTGAGACCTCGCGCAACGTTGTAGCAGTATTGATATTGGTTAGTCCCGGAACCGACCGAGGCGAATTAAATGGATGTCAGGACGGTGTATCGACCATAAATTTGAGACGTGCGTCACATTCCACAGCCTGTGAGTCTCGAGCCGGTGACCTAGGTCAGCCTGAAGTGGCCCCAGTCTGACGGAGCGGCTTCGCGAGAGCCATGATCACATCGGGTAAATATCCAATTATTGCGGCAATAGCAGCTGGAGGGATCAACATAAATGTTGCGGTAATTACACTTACGCTGTAAACATCAGTAATATCACAAAACATGACAGTGAAAGTAAAATAAATACTCTGTTATCACAGGTAGTCCCTGCAAATTACTTCAAATAACGATCACGTGCTCAATTGATATTCGGCAGCATAAACACATTACTCCACGTCTAACACCGAGGGACCACCTATAACTTCGCATAACGACACACTCCATTCCGTAAGCCAATGTCATTCCCATTGTGCAATGACCATAGTGTTACCGGCGACTCCTTCCATTGTCGCCAGTGTATGTCCGTCGCGGGGCAACGGACACACAAACAGGCGTTCCCCTGGCCCTCGCTACGACCCCCTCCCACCCTCAGCCGAACGTGCGTGGCAGGCCGTACACCCACTACCCCAGTCCTAATGACCTCGCCGATTGGACATTACGTCAAATGTCAGGACATCGATTCAAACGTGTCAGTAGAAGAGACACCATCTTTGTACACAGCAACACAGCAGGTGAAGTACATAAAACATGTGCAGTTGTACATCAAACATGGGGAGGGCTATGTACGGACGACGTTGCCAACCGCAAGAAACGACACGTCCTGGATAAAAATCGCCAATAGTTCTTGGAATTGCGCGGATATGTTTGCTATGACAACGAAGGAAATGCACTGCACAAATAGCAAGACGATTACCACCTGTGGGTCTAATAAAACGATCGTTCCAGTATCATTACTTCGGTCAATGCAGCTTTTGACATCAGTGGTCGCTAGAATAAACTCATTTGGATCTAACAGCGCTTTTCTAATAAGTACGAAACAAACAGCAAACAATGAACAAGAATAGTAGCAGTGGGCAACTGGCTGACCCATCTTAAACTACCGAGAGCCGATCCGCTTTCCGCCTCCTTCTCGGCTACAACGTAGCGGTCTGCTAAGCCACACTAGCACGCAGGGGGCATGAACGGTGCACAAACCAGGCATGAACTTCCTCGCAGCGGCACGCTATAGCGTCATCATGAGCCTCAACAGTAGTCGTTAGAACGGGGCACGTGCGGTCAGTGTGGGTGACCTGACGTGACAGGAACTACCGACCGGGAACTGGAACCGACGCCGATAATATATACTAAATCATAGAGTTGTGTCCGTATCATGCAAAGCGAATTAGCAATTCATAGCGTTTTAGCCTCGAGTGTAAAAAAACCCATGCAACTAAAAGAATGGATTAAAACCATCCAGCCAATTGGACTTCATGCAGATTTGCACGCTGTATCTCTACAAAAAAGTAACTAGATTCATTCCCGTATGTAATTATTGCATCATAGTAAGTGGGTACTGGCTAGTCCACCATAACAATACCGTAAAACTCTAAGCACTCAGCTAGGCCGTCTAGTGCAAATCGACCCGGCTCACAGTCTCACCTTGTCTTTGTGCGGGTGTTTGGCCACCACCACTGTGTTACAGCAGGCCATCAGCAGGAAGAAGTCGCGCACCCGCGCCGCGTGGGGTGTGAAGAGCAGCTCGCCGGTGTGGTTCACCACAGACAGCTGGATGTCCATGTGGCTCAGCTCGTCCTGGAGGCGCCGGTTCAGCACAAACGACGGCTTCTCGAACTGAAAACCACGGAAAGGGACGGGGCGGTCAGCGAGGGATGTGGAACGGAAGGATGGGCATTCATTGGCCAGAGGCATGGGAGCTTCATGGTGAGCAATTGAGTATAAGCTGCCTGTCTGTAAAGCTGTTAAGATTTTTTTTTTTTGAAACGCCAAACAACGAGTATCGATCTTCATAAATTAATTCAGAAATCGTTCATGAAAGCATCGTAACAGCAATTTTCCGCGATCTGCGCCAGTCTTCGCCCTTGCCCTTGACAGTATGTTTTCAAATATACACCCTCATCGCCGCGCGTGCCACAGTTATCATGACGTGTTGCACACCACTTCCTGTGACGTTCTGCGGAGCGGACGTCAGAGTGAGGCCGAGCTGACTGGCAGAGGGCCGACCGGCACTATCGGGACACAGTTCCGGTATCACCCGGGACTTGAACTGTGTCCCGTTTCACAGGGCTGGGGATATGTAGGAAGTGTCGAGGAATAAAACATTAACCAGCCAGCCGGTCGGTCGGTTGGGTGATAAGCGAGCACCAGGCAAGGTGATTCAAAGGAGGGCAGGTGGGACGAGAACCACTTAACGTCTTCTAGAGAGACTGACGCCTAACGAGAATGACCAGATGTTGACTGACATCCTGTTGCCGACCTGACACACCTACCTTGCCGGTGCCCTCCATCACAGCGTCGTGGCTGTAGTCGATCCCGCCAATGGTACACTGTCGAAAAACCATCTTGTTCTCCGTCAGGGTGCCCGTTTTGTCCGAGAACAGATACTGCACCTGAGGACACGGAGGGCGGAACAAAGTCAGATGCCTGGACACGAAAAGCGGAGCAGTCAGATGCCTGGGACATGTTAGGCAAGGGCGTTAGCTGCCTGAGACACGGTAGGCGAGAGAGGTTAGACGCCTAGGATATGACAGGTCAAATGAGTCAGACACGGGCGCAGGACCTGCTGTCAATGTTTAAGAAGTTGGGGAAACCGTAATCCATGACAATAGTGGTGGATGTCCATGGGTGGTATGGGAGTGGTAATCCATGACATCTGTTGCCACGGTGTCAACTTCAGCGTTGGCATGATATAATCATTGAAATGGGTTCTATACAAATTACCACAGAAGGAAAAATGAAAATGGACGGCGACATTCAGGTTATAGGATCCAAAGTACAGGCGCAATATTCATTCAAATGATGCATAGCCCCCCGCATGAAATGTCGCACCACCAATATAACACTGCTCCACAATACGCCATAGCAGTGACATCATTGCTGAGCTAAAACCAGGGCCATAAATGTCTCGCTCAACCTCACGTGGGCGGGTTTCTTACAATGAGCACGCAGCGGCAATGGCCATTGAGTCGGCCACGGGTCACGCCACTAACACATTAGCCACGGAAGGTGAGACGATACGGGTGGGGTCAGGGGGCAGAGGGGCACCCCGGACTCGGCTCGCGCAGCCTAGCAACGCGTCAACAGGGGCGTGGGGAAGGGGCCAGGGGTACGTACGTGTGTGTGTAGGGGGGAGGGAGGTGAGACGGTCTTGAGAGTGATGGCGGGGGTCAGCTTATTAAACAACTGTAATAATTCTAAAGAGCAGTAACTGCCAGAATACTACGAGGATCCAGAAACGAGTTGAAACAACCAATAGCCATCATTAAGATATCTGACTACAAGACGTGAGGTCCACTTAAAAACGTACGCTTTTGTTATAACGATATTTCTACATAGTAGCAACGTAAAAATAGAAAATATCTCACTTACGACTACCTAAACAAATGGCCTTGGGCGGCATATGAGCCACCCGAGGGCTGCAGCAGAATATTCTCGGCATATGCCCGTTTTGCCAAACATATTAACAAACTAACGAACTTGGTGCAGCTTTGTTTTATTATTGATGAGGCAGCAACTTTGAAAAATCGTGCCTGAAGAATGATCTTGTGCGTGACCGGTAAAATTACAGTCGCACAGGACAGTCAAAGAAAATTAATACAGTTAATAGGCACTTTGTAGCGAAAGTATTCCACGGTTCTTATGATTGTACAATCACATACTATGTACACAGCTAAGAAGCACGCGAAAGATCCTACGCCTAATCAGAGGTGCATCGAGCTTTGTCCTAAACGATTTATCACTCTAATAAAAAGCTTTCCTCCCTCTGCCTCCCTCCCTCTCTCCACCCCTCCGCTCTCACCTGCCCCAGCTCCTCTGTGATGTTGAGCGCGCGGCACTCTGTTCGTTTGTTGGTGCCCGAGTCGTACAGCTCCAGATCGTTATGGATGTGGTACACCTGCATCAGCTTTATGATCTCCAGCGTGACGTACAGCGACACGGGAATCATCACCTGCAGGGAATGATACATAAGTGTTAACATCACTTATTCACCACCTACTGGCAATGATACACAAATCGTTAAATGGAGGGGGAAATGATGCAGGGAACATCAAATTGAAACGACACAGTGTCCGTCGCCTGGGAGAAGAAAGAATTAGGGACGAGCTACAGTGAGGAAGAACACAACCAAATAATCATATAGACGAAAATCGACCGGTGTTTATCACAGGAAAATGGTATTGACATGAAGTACACCCTTTGCAAGGTAAAAGCTGTAGACAAACGGCCAATGGAGACACGGTAAGGGTCAAGACAACGACACCACGCCAAACAGTAGGCGTTGGTAGGTGCAGTAGCCAGTAGGTGTTGGTCTGTATGTCAGGAAATGTAACGATGAAACGCAATGGACCATCGCATGCCAGCTCAATATGAGATGACTTGGGACTTCGGACATGACAGGATCAGGCATGCAGCGACAAACGAGTGACGACACAAGTAACGACATCAAAGGTCATCCACATGTCCCTTGACACAGATTCAAGAGAAACGATGCATCGTACATTGTAATGGGCGCAAATGTCATTCAGCCAAGATTACTTTACTACTCCATTCAGCAGCCTGTAAAGTTATTTCACGAAGAAAAATGTATCACCCGCAAACAAATGCGGTCATCAACAGCGATAATCTTACGCATCCCCACCCACCAGTTTCCAACTCGTTAGCGATCTGGGGTAGCGCAAAACAATTCTGCTATCAGCGGCTATAATGGATAACATAATGAACTTCAATTCTGATCGGACAGTCGCCTCCTACTACCTGACACACATACAAACAGGCGACAATTACAGAACGATGTCCCAATACACCGCGCAATTTCGCCATCCAGTGTCATTAGTGTGACATGGGCTCGCTCACTGAGGAGTCTTCAAGGACACGATGAGCATAGCTAGACACAACACCTTTAGGCAAAAAGGAAATATACATAGGTAGGTATCTTCGGTCCCGCCTATTATAAAAAGACGTAATTAGAAGAAAAAAAAAACATTGAGTATAACTTTCAGTTGGCACATTGGGTGCAAGATAATGATATCGGTATTTCGACATTTAAACGATAGTGACGTCACTGTGCCGAGTTGTTAATCACGCGTTTGTGTCAGGTTGCCATGAAAAAGGGGCAAACAAACCGCGATGACGTCACAGTTGTGCAGGACGAATCGTTCACGGGTCAACTCGAATACAACGCATAAATGCATGGACGCTGAACCGGACAACAGACTTAGTTTGAAATAAACGTTCCTTTACATAACATGCGTCGCAAGAAGAGATACATAATGCATAAACGCTGGGTATTGTTAAATTATCCCTAATATTGTATATTGTAATGTATAGCCTTCGTCCACACAATCAACTACATGAATATTGCATGTTTTCCGCTAAATAAAGGCGCAACGCTCACAGCGACTCATCCACCGTTTACGACGCAGGCTGTTCGGTACATCACAATGCCTATTGCTGGAGCAGGTGTGCTACACTACAACTGCCGTGTTGTGTAACTCATACAGGCTGGACCAGCACCAATGAGGACTGTAAATTTGCATGTAGCATCGCTGTGCCATCAAAGGTAATGAATGCATACAGTTCATGACTTATTTACAAGGAAGCGTACCGTTGATTGCACTAATACTTGCATCCAAGAAATTGGTATTCAATTTACTATTTACTACATGGAGTCATGGACATTACATCGATGGAAATATACAATAAGCGTGCAGTGGTAATGAGCAAATAAATAAGCGATACCTGTTACAGAACTATACAGCTTAGTATTGCGTAAAGCACGTCGTCTGTTTGAGCCCATCTCTCCTAAGCGGCTCCTAATCTACCTGTAGCTTCCATCCCGTCACTAGTGCGGAAGGTTCAGCACGTCGGATTAGTGTCGGAGCGGACCGCTCAGATCGCTCGGCGTGCGCCGGGAATAAGCGTCACTTTACGACGCACGGCGTCACGGAGCGTCGTCACGGAGCATCGTCACGGAGCGGCGTCACGGGACAGGGCGGCCGCAGTACTTCGCGCCGGCCATCGCGGAACGAGGGCGTTACCGTCACACGATCCGAGTCCCGACCGCGCTGCTGCAGCGGGATCTGCTCGTATCGTCACACCCGTGAGTCGCTTCCGTGAGTTGTGAGTTCCTTGAGTCGTGAGTTCCCGTGAGTTGCACGCCGATGTGACTTGAACGCTTCCGTGAATTTCCTTGTAACCGCGCATCCCTAGAAGCAGTGAAGTTAGCCCTGCCGTGACGGCCACGGACTACTGTTTGAACAGCGATGCTGACTTTATAATGCAGATTCTATCGACGACAGCCTGTTGCACACAAACTACACTACTTGAAACGACTACGGAGCTAGGCTCACAGCACGCCAGCTATAGGGCGGCTTGCACGCAGGATTCGGTGGATCCCGTTGCGCTTAAACAGATGAGGTGTCCATTACTTACATATTTTATCTATGCAGTGACCTATCTGGCCAGGTGGGAGCCCCCTTATCGTAGCTCATTACACAATTATGCATACACCCCGCACCTGGGAATAACATCAGCTTACCGAGCCTACAGTCAGCATTACTTCAAGGTAACTCTACCTTGATGACGGCGCTGTTAGCTGAGCCAGCGTAAAACAAATGAGTCACATGATACCCGTGTCAGACGCTCCACCGCATCACACGTCCCATCTGATACCAGCATAAGATCTCAGCTTACTTCTGAGTACCCTCATGTCATCTCCATTCTCCATCTCTCCCTGCATTACAATCACAGGCTATAACACGCCAGCAGCATGTTCACGTACCTGCAGGATGATGACGAAGGTCCAGAAGGTGATGAAGCCCTCCAGCGGCGGGTTGAGCGAGTTGTACGAGTAGGGGAAGAAGGGCACCGTGTCCGAGAAGCCGCCCAGCCACAGACCCGAGCCGGTAGCGCCGGTGAAGCAGAGCAGCAGCAGGATGATGACGCAGTAAATCACCTCCATGTTCATCTGCCGCTCCAGCTTGGAGCGCTTGTAGCGAGGACCGCCGTTGTTCAGCAACGCCTTGGTCTCGTGACCTGAGAACGGCGGTAGGGCTGGTGAGACAAGAGAATGCCGAAGAGAGAAACTACACGGGTATCGCAGCCATAAGCTATGTGGCGCATGAGACACGACCGAGGCGGACGGGTGGGCCATTAGGGCGATAATTATGTGCAGTAGGTGTAAAAGGTTGCAATGCAGCGCATATCCTTATAACGCATAATATAGTTCGTGACCTTATAGAGAGCGTGGCGAAATATCAATCAAGCGATACAAGCTCTTCAGCTAAATATGGAATGGCTGCTGCTGGTTACTAAAATATCTTGCCTCCCACTCCATGTCGCTTTATACAGCAGTCCCATTTTGGCATCGAACTAAACGTCATGCAACAGCAAAGCAAAACAGCGGGGTTTCAGCGAAGATGCATGTCGAGAAATGACACTACCTTCAATCTACATACGAGACTTCACATGACATCTAAATTTGCATTCTCAACCTTCAAATACCACCAATATACGACGTGGCTGCGGATGACCACAAATGACGCCGAAATTACAACATGTACCGCACGTGTCAGTTCGACGGCGCCCACATTCGCACGTCTCCCACCGCGGTGGGAACTTGTATCCCATCGGTCACAGCTGGCGGACAGGTACCAATCACAGACGGAACAACTGCGCACGATAGCGCCGAGAAACACGGGAAACCGGCTTTACAGTGTATCACCGATTTAACGATATCAAATTTTGGTGGATGACTGGGCCAAGCTAAGCAAAAACAAATAATTAAAAAGGAATAGTGGATAAAATGACTATAATTTGAAGACATTCGTTGGGCCTGAGGGCTTTAGCTGCTACTAGTCTCATGTCCAGATTTGCAACACATAGAGCTTGGCTCCAATGTAATAGCTGGACGAAGTCACAAAATAAATGTAACAGATAAGCTCTTTATCGCCGGACTCGCCAACGTCAATGTCCGTCCCAAGTCGCAGAGGTCATTCCCGTCCCATTCACCCAGTCGGTAGTTACCGCGTCCTTCAATACCCAAACACCATCACCATCGCCCAATTTTCGTGGCGCCAATCTCCCGGCGCAGTCTCACGGGAAAATCGACCGTCCCCGCCCCTGTCCCTCACACACACACAAGGTCGACAGTCGCAAACAGCGCGCGGTCGCCGACAGCTACCAAAACACACATCACATCGACCTGCGGACGGGGAGGACCTTTGTGTCCGATGTCGCTCGCCTGTGTTCGGATTTCCAACGTGTCCGATGTAGGACGAAAACACGGCCTCCGGCGTCAGCGCCAGCGCAATGTAATGTCGGCGGTGACGTAAGCACTATACAATTATACACGCGTTTTGCGGCGTTCCCGACATTATACAAAGCTGTACGAGTAAAAACATGCCCTTAGGCTCTAATAGTTAGGCGAAGTTAGTATCAGTAATGGCCCAAGTATCGAGCTAGTGTGCAAGTGTGTTTTGTTTGACTTGCTCTAGCGTCATTGTGCGAAAAATCGGCTAACATTGGACTGTTTGTCGTCTGGAAAGGAATGCAAATTAAACCAATACCCGCTCGCATGTCAAACTTGGCAAAAACTTAGGAAAGGTTATTGCAGAGTTAAAATGAGAAACGCAATCGGAGCTGCTTCACAGATATTGAGAAGCTTTGTCCACGCATGTCAATCTCAAACAAAACGACTTTCGATGACATTCTATGTTCTAGTAATCTTGATTCTACCGTAGCTCGTCACCAAATGAAGTCGTGATTCATTGCAACTCCGTGCTGGTGCCGGATGGAGTGCCTTTGATTTCCAGTACTAACGAGTTTATTGACAAGCGGCACGCTCCCCAAATCACCGGACGGGACTACCCCAACGCAGGAGCCACGCCCTCTGAGCCTGCAATCTACCGAGGCATCGAATCGGCTACCCGGAATCCGTATTGGTTTGCACTTTTAACAATGTTGTGGCATTGAACAGTGGATTGATTCGGTGGAACCCGAAGTCATTGTCACGTACCAACCAATACGACACGTACATTTTAAATGCAGCTCATCAGAACGTATTGACTCTGTTGTAAACGCACGGTTGCCATTTCCTACTCAACACAGTGCGTAACCAGGAAATATGCTGCATTGTGGGCACGGCAGGATCTCAAACGAAATATCAAAAGATCAAATACACCTGTAGCCAATAGGCAGCCCGCCAATTTACCGCAAAGCACGTCACCAGTCGCCTCACTGTCCTTCGGCAATAATCTACACCTAAAACCGCACTGATACCCCATAATTCGCGACAGGACAGTGCCTCTGGCACCGTACCCCGCGGCGGACCGGCAGTCTTCCTTCGAGGACGGAGGAAGTCAGGTAAACCACCGAGTCAACCGCAGTCACGGTGCCGGCCAAGGTCGCACAGCTGACGGTGGGTGCGTGCCTGATGGGCGACGATCGGTGTCGGAAGGAAACTGTGAACTCTTGTGATTGTGTAAACAGCGAGTGTGTCGGACGCATCAAAGAGATGGTTAGGTTTGCTTGAATATGATTGACTGCACCCAGAGCGTGTTGTAACTTATTTTATAAGCGCGATAAACTATGATCGGGACACATGTGCGGCGTTTCGTGATCCAGGGCGCACCATTGACCTTGCCCGCAGTGTGCCTTATCGTGCACCAAGTGTCGTATTAATCAGGCACATATCTCACCTCGTGAGTTGGGAGTTAAAATTGGGTGGTCTTTTGACCTTCAGACGGAATAGCGCTAATAAATAATTAAATAACCATTATCAATAAACCACGCCTCTCTCTCTCTCTCTCTCTCTCTCTCTCTCTCTCTCTCTCTCTCTCTCTCTCTCTCTCTCTCTCTCTCTCTCTCTCTCTCTCTCTCTCTCTCTCTCTCTCTCTCTCTCTCTTCCCCTTTCCTTTATCCACCCCATCTCCCATCCCATCCACCCCCTCTCATCTGCCACTTACCTGCGTAGACCACGATGCCCTCCACGTAGTCGGTGTTCTTCAGCACGCCCTCGCGCAGCATCAGGTTATCACTGGTGATGGGCACGCGCTGCTGGCTCCGCTGGTGGATCACGCTGCCGTGAAACCGGTACAGCTTGGTCGTCGGCGTGTTGCACTCGACCGTGCCGAAAAACTTGCTGGCGTGGAACGTCTCGTGCTGCAGGAGGGGGGGGGGGGAAGTCAGCGAGGTAGGTCACGGGAAACGGGGGCGAGAGATGGGGTGGCATTATTTTAACTTCAGAAGGACCCCTCAGCTCAGGTCGCTTATGAGCAGGGAAACACTCAGACTCTGGGAGTGACATATTGCAAAATACCTCTCCTCTACGCTGCTCTTCAGAGACACTGACATCAAGCCTGAACACCGATCGGGCTATTGCCACGAGGTTAAGGTGTCCACTAGTCAGATAACAAGGCTATGGTGCACACTGCAAGTGCACAGTGCACGGCCTGGGCCCTGAAGGGCTACATGGCTGGGAGCTGGAGCTGGGCGGGGCCACGGTGATCAGATTATCAACTCCAGCACGTGAGCGACATAAATATGAGAATCGTGAGAAGGGACGGAGACGTGGGGCCTCACAGGACGAGGCCTTGAGGAAAGTTATGAGAATACGAGATGGGTGATAGCATCTAATGTGACTAAATAACAAACTAATAGGCAATAACAAGTCATAAATTTCCCCAACAACACAGATATTTGTGTGAGACATATTTCTGCCATAATAATCAATTAAAGATTGTTGCGGTACTGGCGTGCGACTCAGTTATCTAGCGCACGTCAATCCCGGGAGCGATTTCGTCCATCAGTCACGGTCGCACTAGACTCATACCACTCAAGACCGAAAGAACTCATTAGGTATGTGTAATGTTTTGTCCACCAGAACAGAGTATTACGCTACCATAGATCAAACAGCGGTCGATGTTTCAGTGATGCTACCTAAATGTGAAATGATTGCATAGTGCAGTTCCTTCCGGTGCTGCAATGTCATCAGACAAATATCCTAAACAGAAAGCACTTAGTGGAACGAAATCCACGTTCGATTGCAGCGTGATCTACGCTTACGTTTCCGCGAATGCCGGAGTGATATGGAAGGTCTAATGCCACCTGCCAGCTCAATAAGCTACGGCGAAGCGAGGATAAATGATCCGGAGTGTCACCCTACCGTAGTCTGGAAGAAAAATATGCGAAAGAAAGCAGAAGGTTGGTAAAGAACCGACCATTAATTATCATCAGTACATAACAAAGGCCTCTGATATGAGCTGCACCTTGTGTATGAGATATGACGTCATCTATACAAGGTGTATCGATGAGCCGAGGGCAGCCATTGACGTGTCTGATGGCACGTATTGTGCATGTGTCACCGGCTGGTGCACGCTCCAGTGGATACGTGGCACGCGCGTGACACGTGTGACCCACGTGTTAGGCCACAACCCAGTCCGCAACATCGGAAGGTCTTAAAAGTCCTGTGAAAGGCGGACTGTGCATGTTCACGATGGGAGGCGGTGATGGAGAGGCTTTATAGTTCGCCGCTGATATGGATTTGACACTCACAATGGCAGTTCTGAGAACGACAAACAATATAAATGAACAACTAAACAGTGCCTAAGTTATTGTTCATTTTGAGCTCGATCGTTACTGTTTGCGAACAAAGCTTCGTAAATCGTATCAGCTGTGAGCCACGAGGACAACTTACGCAGTTAATACCAGCCTAACATGCCCTAACACAACGATATTAAAGAAGCAAATGGACCCCAGTACGACACTATCGGATCCCGCTCGTCGCATCCAGTAAGGTTACACGAGCAGCAGTGTGAGATTGGCTTGTAGTCACGGTCGAATAGTCATGTTCTGCTATATCGAAAGACTTCCTATGAATTTACTTACACAATATAATGCTCACGGAAACCTACTCAAAGCCACACAATCCCAAACATCCTGGATAGCGCGGTAATCCGAGGAAACTTTGCAAGAACGCTGACCAGTGATAAAAAGATCAAATAGCGCAGCCATACTGATAATATAAACACAAGCAGCTTTATATACGGCTTTTGGCTTGTTTGTTTTCTGGATCAGGCTTGTACACGGCCCGTCAAAGAGTATCAAATTCATCATTCGGGAACAGAACACCCAGTGGTCAACTCATGGACAGAAAACCCTCCTACCAAGAACCAGCCTAAATTCTACCGAAAGACCACCGATTCAGATACAAACACCTCATGGAAATCCACCTACGTAAAGCCACACAAACTCGCAAACAAACCTCGAGACTACCGAAGGAAAATCCAGCTCCCCTCTCCTCTCCTCCCCTCCTATCCCGCCCACCACCCGGCTATTAGTTCCTCCCGGCGCCGCTAGATGACTCTGACCTTGCCCTCGAGGCCGCGCACGACGCGCCGCTGCTTGAGGTTGGTCTCGCCGTCCAGGTTACAGGTATCGATGTAGCAGACGTCCTGGCTGTCGGAGCAGTGCAGCAGCAGCAGGTCGGCCGGGATCAGCTCGTCACAGGAGAGGTGGACCAGGTCGCCGACTCGCACGTCTCGCCACAACCGCTGAACGTAGTGGCCACTGTCCCTGTGGGAGAGACAGGGAGAGACGGTCAGATGAGGGAAACAGGTCGATAGGGGCACTCACGGGGGAGAAGAGGGGAGGTACTGTCATGAATGTGGTTAGACCAGCGCCAATAGCACGAACATCGACGCACGCTAAGTCGCTCGCCGACAGGGTAAGATTAGCTCCGCTCATACATAACCTTCTCCGATATTCGTTCGTTACCTTTGCGACATCTGACCTCACGGGTCACGCACGCGGTCTCTGATATGCATCACTGATAGCTAATAAATACTGTACCCTGCGCGCCCGCGCACGGCACCCGCCTACGGGTCAGTCAGGGTCCGTTTGGCTCCGATGGACCATGTTACATCAGCCGAGTTGGCTCTGAGCGCGGGCGTATCTCTCCAGCTGAGGTCCGAACATGTCTCCACCGACAGGAGACACGCTGACCCAGCTGCCCGTGGCCGGTTAGCACGTCATTATTTCAGTTCGGCCGCGGGATTAGTTGACCCGATCGCTGACCCCACCAGCCCGGTCCAACGAAACGAACACCATCTTGACTACTGGTGGTGTTATCAGAACGCCCAGGCTCCATTGCCAGAGACGTCACTTGAGCTTGTGCACCTTTCGAGAGACCTGACAGAGGTGTTGGATGTCCCTGGCAGTGCTGCCTATAGTAACATTAGCAGTTCCAACGGGATAAGATCAGGATTAAGCACCATGTGGCATTTGATACTCTACTCACCAAGCTCTACCATTGCAAGAAGCCAGTCTTATCTACTGCATTCATCAACGGTATGTATGCTGAGAGATTGCACAGGCTCAACCATTGCCGAATGCAGACACCCAGCAAATGTTGTGAGTAATCTCCATCAGCATGATGTGCAACAGCTTATCATGCTCATCGGCTGTGTGATGATGGCCCTTGCAAGCTTATTTCATTGCCTCGCAGATAACAAACACATCGGACGAAACATAGATAGTGAGGAGCTCCGAGAAGTCATCGCATCATAATGCTAACACATTGGATATACTGATTAAGCCTGATCTATAACAGAGCACAGAGAACTGATCGCTCCGTAGTCCGTAAGCACCATAGCGAGCATAAGAAATAAAAGTGTAGTAGGCAGAGATCAGAGAAGTCACCATTCCCTTGTGTCACAATAGTTTGTGACTGCAGTACATGTAGCCTGCAGCCCGTAGGCACTGCTAATACGCCGAACGAACTCTAAACCGTGTCCCTGATAACGCTGCCCACATTTTCTGCGTCAGTTCCGCACCAATCTCAAAGTCTATTTACTTGACCCGCCGCGTTAGCCGCGTGACGCAGTGTAACTAACTTGCGGCGTGACGCCAAACGTGACGCACGGCGCGTCACGTCCGCCGCGCGACAAGTGACGGCCAATGTTCAGCTGTGGCGGCGTGACTGCACAGTGCAGTATGCACACCACCCGCTACCTACCGAGCGATTTGACAGGCAACACCGCCCCGGTCGCCAATGCCACAAGTCAAGTTATGCAACCCTGCTTATTTGCCACGACGATATGGTGTAAGGCCGTGCCTGCGAACTCTGCACGCTCCCAGCGCGTAGGATGGGAGAACGCCTCGCAATGCGCGGTCCGCGCCTCGAAAGACGCCGCGTCAGCATCCCGGCGGCGGCGCGTTCTGCATGTTGTGTAACTCGGGAGTCGGCGCGAGTGAGAGCGCTGAGCAGAGTGGTACTCCACTCCCAACTGGTTCAGCATATGCAACACTGGGAACGGTGGCTGTGTAAGTGTGTAGCCGAGTACTACAACTAATCTGGACTAAATGGCTAGGTTAGATCTCTGTAGACGGATACAAGCTCGCCTGGATGTCACAATCTGGAGAAAAATAAGTAAAACAGGCTTCCCGGGGAATTCTGCATAAATTTTATGTTTAAAGGCAAAAATTCAAACCACAAACCCTTCATATTCACGCCTCCGTACCAAAGCCCAACAGGCTCCTCCAGAGGTCAGCCCTCCCACTTCTCCCGCGCGCAAACCGCCGGAGGAGCGGCGTCGACTGACTCAGACGTGGTGACATAACCGGATTCCGTCGGCCGCCGATAGCGCCGGTTCCGGACCCCCTCTGGCCGTGTACACAGCGCCAGCTCCGCCGGCATCCGGCCCGCACTGCAGCCGGGTGAAGTGTTCGACCGCAGAGAGATCATCAGGGCACACACAGGCAGCGTGATTAGGACCGCAGCGCTGCAGGACTGCGGGCCTCTCGGCGATTTCGCAGTCACCGATACAGCGGCTAACGCGCACCAGGGACCGTGCACTGTTTTGCAATGCAAAAACGCAAGCCAGACAAGTCAATGCACTTTCGACTGGGGTTGCCGAAGTAAGTCCCCATTGCGCCACTTGCCGAGCTTACAGAGAAACACAGTTCCCATCTATGGGACACAGGCAGTCGCCCCATGTCCCACTCCTTTCCCAGCGTCAATAATAACTAGGTCTGGGGACTGAGGGGTTCCCATCCATGGGACACAGATCCCTTCTTTCCCAGCGTCAGCGAGTAGCTCCGTTCGGACTTCGGCGCCTGAGCCACAGTGGTGACGTTCACGGGTGGAGAGGTCACGACAGGGGTGACGGTCTGACGTCAGAGGTGACCTGTGACTTCAGAGCTCAGTTCAGCCGGCTCTGCATACAAGCCGACATGGCAGCAACTAGAAATGTCTAATTACGCTCACTGTTTGCTGTCTGCCGCGTGGATGCTCGATCAGAGAAGCATTTTTAGAGTTCCCGAACCAATGCTAAACTGGAATAAAGCAGGTTATAACCGTGGTCGATAATCCCTTGACGTTCTCGGAAGGTATCGCAAGTATGGGCACCATATGACCTCTACGCTTCTGACCTCCACAACACGCATTGCACGCGATCAGGCAGATCCTGTCCTGCATTAACAACGGAACACCGCTTACTTTAACCAGTGAAACACCGCCTGGTGAAGCGTCTTATTGGAAGTGGCCGCCCTCCTTTCAACCGTAGTTAATTCCCGATAAACATTTATCGCCGGGAGCGGCGGTGAGCGAGTTACGCCCTCGTAAAGTCGCTCCCATTTATAAGTGGGCGCCGCCCTCTCAGAGTGGGCCGCGCAGCTCGGCGGCTCCCACGGCCTCAAAGGTCGCCTGACTGATGACCTGCGTGCAGTGTCACCGAAACTAATGACGCGGTGCGGCGGAACAGTGCGACACTTGCAGCGGGGCGGCGCGGTCATTGAGTGCAGGGTCGATAGAAGAGCTGTTAGACTCGGTACAATGGGCGCCGTATGGGGCCGTCGAGGTAAAAAATGACATATGAATATGAATGGAAATTCAATTTGTCGATGGTTTCTAAGCATCGTGGCAACACATATGCTTGTTAGTGATCCTATGAAGGGGAAATGTTATTCAAGAACACAAGCCTCTACGAGTCAATCCACGAGTAATGAGTAAGTATCTCATCATAACATCATGTGTATAGACTTTCACCGAGGTCCCACTCCCAGGGACAACCGCCCGTTGGCCCTTGCATTACCGTTCCCTGTTTAGGGGCGTCTCAGAGGTCCTATGGCACATGACATTACAACAAAGTCAAACAGCCTGGTAAGGAAAGGACGGCCACTCACGATGGCAACCATAAATTCGCCAGCGTCCATGGCACTGCCAGACACAGCACAAGGACACCGGATAGCTCGGCATGCCTCTGCACCAAACATCTCTATCTTACAGGCATGTTTGTACACTCGCCAGGACGAAAAATACCAACATTAGCCACCATCCATTCTAGTCAATTCCCGAGCCAGCTGGCGGTATAACAGCCCGCGTCTGTTGGTCGACCTCGCCGCTTCGCTCGTTATGCCGTGGCGTTCTACTGTATTCATCCATGCACGGTTCCTCCATGAATTACATCGTCCGTCCACAGCGGCCATTCGAACCCAGACAGCATGAGAGGTGGCGCAAATTACGGCCTCATCACTGCAGCCGGCTCGTGCCATTTTCAGCCCGTAGAAAGTGACGGCACAGCGCCGCCTTATGCGGGCGGACGGTCGGTCGGGCGGACGGGCGGGCGGAGTACCGGGTCATGATGAGCGGACACCTCGCGTGTGACGTCATCGGACGAGTCACCCCGCAGGGGACACCACGACGGCGGCAGCGGGGGTTCTCGGGAAGAGACAAACATGAGTTGGTGACGTCATTTCAAAAACGTCATACTGATGCTTTACGGACCCTCGTCTGATGCCCAGGGACTCCCCCTCTATGCAAAACACCCGCACAACTCGCAGGGGTGCTCGGTAAGTGAATAACAAATCACTCGGCTCTGACAGGCCGCACGGAGCACTGGAACACCTCAGCCGTGTCTCGAGTACCCGGGGAATCCCCCACTGCCGTCTCGGTGCGGTCGCGGCCCCAGCTCAACACCGAGGTCAGTTCTCAGAGGCACCGAGGGGTGGCTGAGACACCGGAGGGTTCCAACCGCCACCTGCACCGGCTGGCAGTGGGGACGGAAAGGCCGGGATGCGGAGAGGACTGGATCTTGGAAATGTGAATCACAATCGGTTAGCGCTGCGTTGAACAGTTGAGGGGACGGCCTTTATCGTAGGAAAACGCGCTGATTCAACAACCAATAAAATACCTATTTTCTATTCGCTAAGAATGTACCCGTATTGGCCGTATTCCACCCTCTATCAGCCACGTCAATGCCCACAATAGTCTGCAACCTTGACAGCCAGAGCCCAGACTCCGGTCGGATCCACCCTCAATCCACAGAAGCTGCCGACGGCGCCACCCACACGGCACACCGTGAACGAAGGGGTGACGCCAGCAACGGTACACAGAGTGAAGGTCACAGTCAAAGTCACCTGCCAGACCTCAGAGGTGTAGAGCTTTCTGAGACTTTTGCAACTCCGGCATGCATGCGGTGGGAGAAAAATATTGCATCAGAGGCCTCCTTAGCACCCGACACCAGCAGAATGACTGTGGTGCAAAATAGCTCCTCCACTATTTTAAATCCGACTTT